TGTGGGATTTGTAATTCATTCATCATACGTGGAAAGTTGAGAGGTCAGAAGGCAGACCTGGTGTTTTCCATCAGTTGGGTGGAGCCACTCTAAGATGTCAGAGACTTAAGGGAAAGGTCCTATACTTGTTCTTTTTCTCCATTTCCCATTCAGGAAGCAAAGCCTTCAGAAGCGACCCCCTGGCCCTTCTAAGGGAGATACGACTGTCCTGAAGTCAAGGTGAATTAATGGAGTAGATCTGGTTAGTTTTTTTTTGTGAGACCTGGTTCCAGCTGGGACCACCCATACCATGTATTCCACTGTAACGCCAACTCCCAGCTTGTTTTCTCCTCTTGTTTGCTTTCTACTCCTCTTTCCTTCCTTTCTTCTTTTTATAACCACATCATTTATTAAGTTTTTCCAGGAAACACAATCTCTCTCTACATATATATATATATGTATATATATATGTATATATATATATTCTACATATATATACATATATATATGTATATATGTATATATATATATTCTACATATATATATACATATATATATATATATACATATATACTTTTTCTAACACAATGCTTCAAGGTAGACATTATTCCTGTTTCACAGATGTAAGAATTTTGGATTCAGAAACTTGTTTGAAGTTACAATAGCTAGAGGACTGGTTTCCTGTTTCTCCTGAAAGAAATTACCACAAGAGCTGGGCACTAGTAGCTCACTCCTATTATCCTAGCTACTCAGGATGCTGAGATCTGAGGATCGTGATCCAAAACCAGCCTGGGCAGGAAAGTCCATGAGACTCTTATCTCCAATTAACCACCAGAAACCAGAAGTGGAGCTGTGGCCCAAAGTGGTACAGCACTATCCTTGAGCAAAAGAGCTCAGGGACAGCTCCCAGGCCCTGAGTTCAAGCCCCATAACCAATGGGGAAAAAAAAAGGAAATTACCAAAAACTGAGTGGCTTCAAATAACACACATGTATTATTTTACCATCTGGAGGCCAGATGTATAAAGTGGATTCACAGGGCTGTATTCCTTCTGAAGGCTGTGGAGGAAGAGATATTTCTGGTCTCTCCCAGACTCTAAGGTCCATTTGGCTTCCTTTGGCTCATGGTCCCACCTCATTCTGACTTCTACATCTATCGTCATATGTCTTCTGACTGCCCTGCTGACTCTCCTCTACATTCATGGTCCAAGCCCACAGAAAATCCAAAATAATCTCTCCACCATAAAATCCTTAATTTAATCACAGGTACAAAAATCTTTTTGGAGCCGGGCACTGGTGACCCACGCCTGTAATCCCAGCTACTCAGGAGGCTGAGATCTGAGGATTGTGGTCCAAAGCCAGCCCAGGCAGGAAAGTCTGTGCGACTCATCTTCAATTAGCCACCAGAAAACTGGAAGTGGCGCTGTGGCTTAAAGTGGTAGAGAACTAGCCTTGAGCTGAAGAGCTCAGGGACAGCGCCCAGGCCCAGAGTTCAACTCCCATGACCTACAAAAAAAATCCCTTTGGTTATATGAGATAACATATGCATGGGTTCAGTGGGAGAGAGGAGTGTGATTTTGTCTGTAAGAACTAGTGAGTGGCCAAGTAAAGATCCAATCCCAGTGCTTTCACACGCCTCAATTTGTGATCTCCCTACGCCACACTGTCCCTTCCTTCAGAGCTTTCTCTCCTCAGCAAATCCGTGGGGCTGAACAAGCACAGATTCCTAGAGATAAAAGATGTCAGAAGACATAAAACACAGGGCTGGGAATGTGGTGGTGGAGTGCTTGCTTAGCATGCATGAGGCTCTGGGTTTAATTCCTTAGCACCACATAAACAGAAAAAAAAAAGTGGCTCTGTGGCTCAAGTGGTAGAGTGTTATCCTTGAGCAAAAGAAGCTCAGGGACAGTGTCCAGGCCCAGAGTTCAAGCTTCAGGACTGGCAAAAAGAAAAAAAACAACAAAGACTGGACATATCAGGAGGAGAAGCTGATGTGAGAGCCCGAGGACTCCTCTGCAAATCTGAGAAGGAAGAGAAAGGCAGGAGGTTCAAGGGCCAGACATTCACCAGAGGGAGAGCAGCAGCGAGAAGAATGGCCCTCAGGGTTGGGCAGAAGGATTCCTGGAGAGGAAGAGACAGTCAGTGCATCAAAGCACCATACACAAGAAGCATCTCGCCTCTCTTTCTACCTCTCCTTGAGGAAAGCTCCAAAGGTTGTTGGTGCTCTTAGCACTAGGAAGACTGGCTACACTGTCTCTGTCTGATCTCAGCTACAATCAAGTTTCTTCACCTCTAATTGCCTCATCTGTAAAGTGAGGGCTAATAGTACCTTTCCATAAGATTCTTTTTTTTCTTCTTTTGTTGGTCGTGGGGTTTGAACTCTGGGCTTGGGTGCTGTCTCTCAGCTCTTCAGCTCAAGGCTAATGCTCTACCACTTGAGCCACAGTGCCACTTGAGGTTTTCTGGTGGTTTATTGGAGGTAAGAGTCTCACAGACTTTGCTGCCTGGTCTGGCTTTGAACCTTTATCCTCAGATTTCAGCCTTCTGAGTAGCTAGGATTATAGGCTTGAACCACCAGTGCCCAGCTCTCATAAGATTCTTTTAATAAATTAAATGAGTTTGTATGTGGAAAAGGCTTAGAACAGTGTCCAGGATAATGTAAGTGTTACATAAACAGCAAAAAGGGCACAGGTGGCTCGGGTGGGAGCTGTCTTTTAGGACCTCATTATCCAAACTTAGCCTGGCCATGGGTGCTGCAGGTGATTGTTTCAGGGAAGATGTGATTCTGGGGTCACATGGACCATACATACTTAATCCTGTAAAATGCTGCAGAGCACAGGTAGTGACTTCTTTCACATTTTGTCTAGACCCCTGGAAGGATTGATCCAAAAGGTTCTACTTTCAGAGACCTTCGCAGGGCCTGCCTAGAAGAAAGTGCTCCCTCTTGTGCTCCAAGCCTTGCTGTTTTGGCAGCTTCCTGCCAAAGCTGATCCACAGAGATTCTCTAAAGAGAATCTCTTTAGCTCTTCCTACCCCTGCCATTTCAGGGGTTAGGCCACGGCTGAGCCACTGGTGTATACATTTAAAGGCAGATCTCCTATGTGTGGGCACCTGGTAAGGGTCTGTGGTTTTTTTTATTACATTTTCTGTGCCTGCATTGGTGTTTGACCTCAGGGCCTGATCACTATTCCTTAGCTTTATAGCTCAAGGCTAGTGTTCTACCACTTGAGCCACACCTTTACTTCCAGATATTTTTTTGGTGGTTACTTGTAGATAAGAGACTCATGGACTTTTCAGCAGGGATGGCTTGGAATTGTGGTCCTCAGATCTCATCTTCTTGAGTAGCTAGTATTTACAGGCATGCGCAGACGGTGCCCAACAAGGGTCTAAAGTTTAAAGACTGCTCACAGCCCTAGAAACTGCGAGTGTGTCATTTAATTTCTCTGAGTCTTAATTATCTTGTCTGTAGAATAGATATAGAGTTTACTTCATAGGGCTTTTTGTAAGTATTATATAATCTATGTAAAGCTTTTAACAGAGTGCATGGAGTATAAAACAATAAACTCCCAGCATATGATTATCATTTCATATGGTTTTCCCATATCATTCCAGTGACATCAAGGGAAAAGGTTTCAGATTTATCTGTCTCAACTCTCCCAGAGACAAGAAGGCCCCTTGGAAGGCCTGAAAGGAAGCCATACATACAGCAGCACTGGACTGGGTCTCTGCTCCTAGATCTTAGAGTCTTGTAACAAGGCAACAAGGCAGAAAGAACAATCAACAAAGTTACAATGAACCCAGAGACCCTTAGGGATCATTGAATGTCTCTGGTGGCCTTTTTCTTTTTACAGTACTAGGGTTTGAACTCAGGGCATCAGATTTGCCCTGACAATTGAATTATTGCAATAAGCTGACTAAATATAAGGGATTAGTATTAAGCAGAGGAATGACATGGTCATTTTCACATTTGAGAAAGGTAACTCTAGCTACAGTATGGCTCAAGTTGTAGAATGTGTGCTTAGCAAGTACAAGACCATGAGTTCAAACTCCAGTATCACTACCACTACCAAAATAAATAAATACATGCATACATACGTAAATACATAATGATCGCTCTAGAAGCAGAGTGGAAGATGAGCTGGAGGAGGAGGAGAAATTAGAAGTTCAGAGACCATGGAAATGAGGGATCAGAAGCCAAACTAGAGAACCTATAGAGGCGATGATGATAGATGAGAGTGAAATCAGTAAGTTCTGATTCCTTCACTCCTTCACTGCAGAGGTGAGGAAGACGTTTGAGATGATGCTCAGCTCCGCCTCAGGCACCAGGATGATGGTGCTGCTGCCCGCTTAGACGGGGGACCAGGAGGTAAGTCAGCTCTGAGTAGAGAAGAGATGACAAATTGGACTTCTAGACATATTAAGCAAGGGTCTGTAGAATACTGGAATGGAAGAAATAACTCACTATTTCTGTCACTGCTCTGACCACAGCATTTTAAGATTAAACACCTTCTCGTGTGTCCATCCACCGCTGCCACTGTGAAGTGCAAGTTCCTTAAGCACCAGGCTCTGAGCCTCAGTCATTTCCTGCAGTCCTGGCACAGTGGTGTCATATAGATGCTGAACAATGTCTGTGGAGAGAGGATGCACCCAGGGGAAGAGCGCGTCAGCCATTCTCATCAAGTCTCCTTGGAGTCAGAGTGCAAATAAGTAGATGGAATCCTCTAATAGGGGAGATTTCTCCTACTGCCCCATGCAGAGGCCCTGTCATTGAGGAAGCAAAATGAGTCGAGTGGGCTCCAGACCTTAGACATGAGTTGGGTGGCTGAGGAAATCAGGACAGGACAAACTTCGGAGCTTGCTGAGTCCAGACAAGGCCTCTCTGAGTGGACACGTAGACTGCTCACAGCAGGTAGATGAGGGTAAGGAAGCAGTAGGAGGAAGGGTGGAGCAGGATGTGGGCTGGCAGGGATGGGGGGGGCAGGGAAGGTGGTCCAAGAGCAAGCTGGCTTTGTTGGCCATGCCAGCTGGCAGGCACAGGGCTTCTTAAGCTCAGTTAATCCACCTTAAGCCAGACAAGATCACTGCCCCCCTCCACCAATCAGCGAGCCTGGGACTCAAGGCTCCGATGATGTTGCCGTCATCAAGGAGTGTCAGTATTGCTGAAGGAGCTGGGCCCAGTCCAAGGCTGAGCAGATGGCAGGAAACTGCTGGGTGAGCTAGATTGATGGTGTGGCCAACATGTGTGTCTATAGTCTTCACTCTGATTAGGGCAAGAGATGAAGGAGGAACCTTCAGCTTCTTTGGCTGAGCCTGGTTTGAAGACACCTCTGTCCTCATTTTCTTCATCCCAGCACCTGTGTAGGTCATGGTCTGCTATGCTTCCAAGAATCCCCACTGAAGCCCCTTCTTTGGTATCACAATGGCTCTGCATCCTATGTTGTTTTGTTTTGTTTTTTTTTTTCTCTGAGGCTCTCACAGCTACTCTGAGAGCTGAGTTGGGGTGGTATGGACTTTGCCATTCATTTCACTCAAGCCACTCTTGCTATTTACTTCTTGAGTATGCTGAGTTTATCCCCACCCCCACTGGCTTTGCATATTTGGTTTCTCTGCTTGACAGGCTCTTCCTCCAGATTTCTGCAGAGCTACTTCTTTCTCTGCTCACTCTTACTATCCAGGGGGAAAAAGCAGTCCACTTTGTCACTATTTCCCCGCTCATGCCTTTGATTTTTTTTTCTTCTCCACAGCATGCCATATGTTTTTTATGTCCATCATCCCACGAGAGTGTAAGTTCCTTGTGACAGGGATTTTTCCTCTCTTATTTATAGCTAAATTTTCTGATGACTAAAACAGTGTGTGATTGACACTTGATAACAATTTGCTGAATGAATAAACAAACTGAATGACCAGAACTATCCCTTTATACCTCTCTGCATCCCAGAGAAGCCAGGAGAAGGAGACAGTGGAGGAGGCTGAGACAGGGGTATGTGGCATGGGGGAAGGGGATCAGACACTCTGATCCACACCATACTCCTAAATTCTGGTGTGCCAGGGGACCCAAGAGCATATGATCAGCAGGAACTGCACTTGTTTCTCATTTAGAGCCTTTTCTCCAGAGCTGGCACCATTTCTATCCTTGGCACTATTGTCCTCTGCCTCCTGTTGGAACTGTCACTCAACATTTATTGAGCACCTATGGTTTTCCAGACTCAGGACTGGATACCAGGGAGCTACAGATTGATGAAGCATTGTCCTCGTCTCCAGAGGAAAACTCTGAGAGAGGAAACAGAGGAGCTGTGACTTTAGGGGTGGGTGTTGATGGTCATACTCAGGTTGGCAAAGGGCAATTAGGGAAGGCTCCAGAAAAAGGCTCTAAATTGGAAAAAGGAATATTTGAGCTGTTTCTTGAAGACCAGGGTGGGAAGAATGGAGAAGGGAGACCCAGTAATAACAATCAAGAGAATAAATTGTGTAGAAGGTTTAGTTGAGCTGAAAAAGTGTAAGTCCAAAGGTGAAACTGGGAAGATAGGTCAAAATCCATGCTAAAAAAAAAATGAACACCAGGCTCAAGAGCCTAGGCCAAGTCTTTTTGGCAGTGGGTACCACTACAGCATTTTGAACAGGAGTAACTTGTCAGGTTTGCTCTCTTACAAGTTTATCCTAGTGCTGTGTGCAGAGCGGTTTGGAGTGGCAGGTAGAGAGCCAAAGAAATGAGTTAGGGCACTGTTGAGGTGGACAGATTGGAGGCAACACTGGCTTGGACTAAGAAGTATCAGTGTATGTGGAGGAGCCAGGATGGGGCTCAGCACTGAGGGACTCAGGGACTGGAGGCATGGCTCAAGTGATAGAACACCAGCTATGAGCAAAAGCTACTCAAAAGAGCAGACCTATACAGTCAGTAGGAAGACAAACTAGGTGGCATTCCACTGCTAGAAGTTGTTGGGATATAGTATCTGGGAGCAGAGGTCAAGGTTGGTTTGATCCCCTATCCCCATTAACTATCTCAGGCAGATCCCATTCTTCTACCTAGTTTGCTTATTTTTTTTCAGGGGGGGGGTCGTGGGGCTTGAACTCTGGGCCTGAGCACTGTCCCTCAGCTCTTCAGCTCAAGGCAAGCACTCTACCACTTGAGCTATAACACTACTTCCAGTTTCCTGGAGGTTTATTGGAGATAAGAATTTCATGGACTTTCTTGCCTGAGCTGCCTTTGAACCGAGATCCTCAGATCTCAGTCTCCTGAGTAGCTAGGATTACAGGCGTGAGCCACGGGTGCCCAGCTAGTTTGCTTTTCTTACCTGCCCCCATGGCTTCTCTGTTCCACTAAGATAGTCTGCTGTGCTCCCTGGCTTTCTCTCTGACCTTCAGTCTTGGCTCCTCTCACAATACTGAGTGTGTCTCATGTCTCATTCATGGGATGTCCCAGTGGTGGTGATACAGCTCTGCTGTTCCATTAGTACCTGGCACTCCATTTAACCACAGGCTCCTTGACGACATGAACTACATGGAGCTTGACTCTTCTTTGCTTATAAAACACTTGAATGAATGAATGAATGAAATTAACTTAGATGCCCTGATATTTATATGGCTATTATCCAATAGCAGTTGGATACTGGAGTTAGGCTCATTCTTGGATGGCATGGGGATTAGGAAGTTTCTAGTTCCTAGTTCCAGATTAGGAAGTTTCTGGTATGAATGAGTCTAGAAAGTGTCTGTCATTTGTCTGTTGAAAAAGGCCTTCGATAGGATGGGATGGTGGTAGCTTAGCTCTCCAAGAGCTGTCTTTGAACTTTACTCTGCATTTTGAAGGACTCAAAATTCAAGATTCCTAGTCCCTAGTCCCTTACAGCAACTAGAACCACAGATCTAAAAGTCTAAAATAAGGGAGGAGACAAAACCCTTTGGCTCACCCTTTCTTGTCTAATATGGGGTGGTGACAGATAAACCAGAGGACTGGATGAAAAATCAGAGGACCAGGAGCTTCACTGTATGCAAACTTCATAGATATTATGAGATATATATTTATATATTATAATATAGGAAGGTAGGTAGATAGATAGATAGAGATATATAGATGGAGATAGATAGATAGATAGATATGGGGGAGGCAGGCAAAGAGCTGGGCTTGTTCAATATACAGGTGCTCCCCCTGGAATTCATCCAGGTACTGGAGGCCTGAGACAAAACTGGTACCCCCAAGGAGACTCAGACACAGATTTCTTGTGTGAGGAAGGTTATTCTCTGTTCAAAGCCTTCCAACAATGAAACTGGTAGGTAGTAAACTCCCCATCACTGGAGGATAAATGGCTTCCTTATAGGAATTCTGTAGGAAGGTTTTAGCAGACGGCAGGAAACTAAACCTAGATAACCTTTCAAGTTCTTTTCCCTTCACAAGGGAATTCTCTTGCTTTAAGGATAAGAAATCATCATTAAATATTTATCTGGCTCAGAGATGAAATGGTATTTGCCACCTGCCTCAGAGATAACTATGGGCCTGTTCAGTTACCTAAGGAGGGGCAGGAGGATTTTCAAGCAGGGTCAAGAACCACTGGGTAGATCCAGGGATGTCCATGGATCTACAGAGGTGGCTCTCTAGCTGTCTGCTATTCTCAGTGGGGCTGTTCTTTAAAACTAGAGTCCTCCCATTGACTGTGCTATTCTCATAACTTCTCTGGAGGCTTAAAAATCTCTCAAAATAAACAGATGTCTCACAGTAAGCAATTTTTAAACACTGATTATTTTGTGTGTTTTGTTTTGTGTGATGCTAGAGATAGAACCAGAACCTTGTGCATGCTAGACAAGCCCTCTATAACTGAGCTACATCACTAGCCCTTTCTTTAATTTTGAGGAGGGTCTTGCTAAATTGTTCAGGCTGGTCTCAAACTTTCAATTCTTCTGCTGCAGCCTCTTGAGTAGCTGGGATTATGGGAATGGGCCAGCATGACTACCTAGCTTCTATAATTTTAAATTTCCACAAGGAAATCTAATCTGACACAGAGTTGATAATCCTTGATCTAAATTAAGAAAAGTATATGTCAGTATAAGTTTTCTTTATTATTTTTATAAATCAGAATTTTTTCAAGTCAGGTAATCAAATTATTCATATGTATTATGAAAAAACCTATTCATATGTATATATCCATTTACATGTATTATGTAGATATGGGAGAGATTTAGATATTGCTTTTTCTGGAAAGAATCTTGTCAGTATTAAACTTATTAAATACAAATGAGCATATAATGTCTACAAAGTACAGGGCATCTTCCTTTACTATGTTTTATTTGGGAGGCAGGAGATTCACATGGCTAGGTCATGTGAAACCTGTTAAAATAAAAGTTTCATTTTTTTTCTTTCTTTCTCTCTCTCTCTCTCTCTCTTTTTGTTGATCCTTGAGCTCTGGGCCTGGGCACTGTCCCTGAGCTTATTTTGCTCAAAGCTAGCACTATAACCACTTGAGCTAAAGCACCATTTCTGGTTTTTTTTTCTGATTTAATTGGAGATGAGTCTCACACTTTCTTTCCCAGGCTGACTTCAAACCATGATCCTCAGATCTCAGCCTTCTGAGTAGCTAGGATTACAGACATGAGACACTGGTTCCCAGCTTCATTTTTTCTTTATTATGTCTTTTTTGTCTACTTCATGTTACTAAGATAAAATAAAAACTAAGCAAAAAAAAATCAGTTCTATCTATTTAGTTCGTACTCTGTAAAATATCTTCCCATATGCTCTTACCATGATCATACTAACAGCAGTCTTGCGAGAGAGACAGAACCAGAAGTTTTTATCTCCATCTTGTGCATGGGTAAACTGAGGCCTGGTTAAGAGAAGTGGCTTGTCCAAGATCACAGAGTTGGCTGGGCAAGCTACTAGCATAGGGAGGCTCCATCCTCTTTCTCTGCCTCTTGCCTCCGCCACTTGCTGCCTTGTCTTTTTTTCCTCTGCCTTCATCTCTGTTTTTCTCTTTTTACTTCAACTTTCCTTTCTTTGTTCCAACCCACAGACTGGAGTCAGCTTTGCAATTTGTCCAAACCTTTGCTCACTCTGGAAACCTGCCAGTCCAACAGCCACAGCCCCATATCATCACCAACTCAACATCTTTGCTTTGAGCAAGCCCTTCCCAGATACCAGGATGCAGGGATTAACTTAGGGTGACGCTCAGAGCTCCAACTGGCCCCAGATAAAACAAGGGTGGGGATCAGCACTATAAACAGGACCC